GCTAACGTGCGGCGGAGCCACCGCCGGGAATGTCACCGAGGGGAGCAGGAGCTCAGCCCATCCCTGTCCCCGTCCCTGTCCCCGTCCCTGTCCCCGTCCCTGTCCCCGTCCCTGTCCCCGCTGCCTTCGGTCCGGTCCCTGGAGCAGCTCCGCCCTGGCAGGACCCGGCCCTGGGCACATTCCGGGCAGCGGGTGAGGAGGGTGGGGGGCTCTGGGGGGTGGGTGCTGCCCTGCCCGTCCCCGTGTCCCCAAAAGTCCCCGCAGCGCTGACTGTGCAGGGTCACGGGTGGGGAGCTGATGGAGGAGGGAAACTGAGGAAAGAGAGGGGCTGAGGTGGCATCAGGGGGGTTTGGGGAACTCCTTCATCTTCGGCCAGAGGAGGATGAGGAGATGCTGGGCCAGCCTTGGGGCTGTGGTGTGGCTGCTTCACCCACTGGGTCCTGCTCCCAGGGCACCCAAATTCCTGCTCATATCCCCCACCTGTGTCCCCATCCTGTCCCCCAGCCTGTCCCCTCACCCTGTCCCCTCACCCTGTCCCCCAGCCTGTCCCCCAGCCTCACCCCCCATCCTCACCCCCCATCCTGTCCCCCATCCTGTCCCCATCCTGTCCCCCATTCTGTCCCCCCATCCTGTCCCCCATCCTGTCCCCCCATCCTGCCCCCCATCCTGTCCCCCCATCCTGTCCCCCCATCCTGCCCCCCATCCTGTCCCCCCATCCTGTTCCCCAGCCTGTCCCCCATCCTGTCCCCCCATCCTGTCCCCCCACCCTGTCCCCCCATCCTGTCCCCCCCAGCCTGTCCCCCCATCCTGCCCCCCATCCTGTCCCCCATCCTGTCCCCCATCCTGTCCCCCATCCTGTCCCCAGCCTGTCCCCCACGGTCACACACAGCCCCGGCGCTCTTTAAGCCGCACGTTGTTAATTAGGAAAATGCCACCCGGGAGTTGCCCGGTGGGAACCCGCCGGGGCCGCGGCTGCAGGTGGGGCTGGGGACAGATGATGGCGGGCTGGGGACAGATGATGGCGGGCTGGGGACACCGAGACTTGTCCCCCGTGCCCCGCGCTCCTTTGTCACCCCTGTGCTCGCCCCTGCTGGGGTCAGATGTCCTTTGGGGACAGGGTTGGGGCTGCCCTTGTGCCACCAGCACAGCCGGCTGCTGCCGGGGGACAAGGCCGCCCTGATGATGTCACAAACCCCTATGACGTCACAGCTGGTCTGTGACGTCACCAGGCTTCAGGCTCTCCATGCGGGCACAGCTGAGTGGGTGCTGCTGGCATGGCCCGTTTGGCGCTGCCCAGACCCGTTTGGGGGCTGGCATGGCCCATTTGGGGGCTGGCATGGCCCATTTTGGGGGCTGGCATTTTGGGGGCTGGCATGGCCCGTTTGGGGGCTGGCATGGCCCGTTTTGGGGGCTGGCATGGCCCGTTTGGGGGCTGGCATGGCCCGTTTGGGGGCTGGCATAGCCGTTGGGGGGGCGGCATATGGCCCGTTGGGGGCTGGCATGGCCCATTTTGGGGTTGCCCGGGCCCGGTGCTGGGGGGATGTGGCACACAGGGGTGTTGTGGGCTGCCCATATCCATGGCCCCCTCCATCACCCCCATTTCACTTGCCTGCCCCCCAAAACCGGGCACAGGCGGCTGGTGGATCTCCCGGAAATGTGCCAGGCCTGAGCCAGAGGGGTGGGCACAGGCGAAGGGGCACCTGGGTGGCACCAGGGACAAAGGCCAAGGGCTGGACACCGAGCTGTGGGGCCGGGGGTGCCAAGCCCCACCCTGGGGAGTCTCAGGGCACATCCCCCGGGAGCAGGTCCAGCCCGGTGCTGCCATCACAGAGCTCAGCCCCACAGCACAGGGGACGCCAGCATGGGGCACCCTGGGGTGCTGCCCCCCATCCCTGGGTGCCCCAATCCCCGGGGACCCCGGGGACCCCCATCCCACCTCCCCGCTGCTTTCGGGGAGGAGCAGCACCCGCACCCCAAGGCCGAGGTGGGGGGGCCCGGCAGGGAGCGGATTTGGGGAGATGGGGGGTCTCCATGGTGACAGAGCGCGATGACGACAGTCGCCATGGCGAGGCTGCGTGGCCCGGCCCGTTGCCATGGCGATGCGCCTGGCACAGCCGGTCGCCATGGAGATGGCCGAGGGATGGAGCGGTCCCCATGGCTCGGGGACCGCGGCTGGGATGGGATGGGATGGGATGGGGGAACAGGGGGTGTCCCGGGGGCCGAACCCCCAAACCCGTGCGGGGCCTCGCCGGTGCCGCCGCCCGCCCGGTGCCGCCTCGTGCCCGGTGCCGCCGCCGCCGCCCGGGATCGTTTTCACGAGGCTTTTCCACTCCAGTTCACACTCCCATCTGACAGGCCCAACTTCTCATTTTCAGAGTAATCACTCCACTGCACTAATTGCACATGCAAATATGCAAATTCGTATTAATTAATTACTATACTAATTAGTTCTGTGGTATTTGCGAGTAATAAATCATTCGGAGGGAGCGGGAAGCTGGAGACCTGGCCCATTTACACTTCGCATAAAAATTTAATAGGCGCTCCGGCTGATCCGGGACAGCCGCGCCACCGCGCTTAAAGGCACAGAGCTGGCCTGGCACGGCGTGGGGGGCACGGGCCCTGGCACTGCCGGGGTGCCAGGGCATGCAGAGTGGGCAGGAAAGGCAAAATTGGGGAACAGCACCGGGGAGGAGGAATGGCGGCGGTTTGGGGGTAGCGGATGTGGTGGTGGTGTTGGCGGTTTCCTTGTTGGGAAACTGAGGCACGGAGGGCAGGGTGGGGGTCCCCGCTGCTGCACCCAAGTATGGGTGGGGGGTCTTCTCTCAATCCTCCTGGCACTCAAGGATGGGGGTACCCAGGGGGGGTCACCCGGTGTGGCAGCTGGGCTGGGTCTCACGGGCCACCGCTGCTACACCAGCACGGTGACCACGCCAGAAGGGTCACCAGACAGGCACTGTGACCACGCTGGCACGGTGACCTCGCCAGAATTGTCACCAGACAGGCACTGTGACCATGCTGGCACTGTGACCACGCCAGAATTGTCACCAGACAGGCACTGTGACCACGCCAGAATCGTCACCATACAGGCACCATGACCACACCAGCACTGTGACCACACCGGCACCGTGATCATGCCAGCGTCATGACTGTGATGCCACTGGCACCGTAATCATGCCAGCATGGTGACCACAGTGACCACATTGGCACCTTGACCACTCTGGCACTGCCACCACACCAGCACTGTGACCACGCCATCAGGGTGACCACACTGCCAGGGTGATCACACTTTCAGTGACCACGCTGTCAGGGTGACCATGCCGTCAGGGTGACCATGCCATCAGGGTGACCAGATTGGCACAGTGACCTCGCTGCCAGGGTGACCACGCCGTCAGAGTGACCATGCCATCAGGGTGACCACACCATCAGGGTGATCATGCTGCCAGGGTGACCACGCTGTTAGGATGACCGCATTGGCACGGTGACCACGCCATCAGGGTGACCACGCCATCAGGGTGACCATGCCATCAGGGTGACCACACCATCAGGGTGACCACGCCATCAAGGTGACCGCCTTGGCACCACAACCAGGCTGGCACCGCCACCGTGCCGGCACCGCGCTCGTGCCAGCCCGGCACAGCCGCTCCCCGCTGCCACCTTGGGGGATTTTGCGAGCCTTTAATTGTGGTAAGCACAGATTAATTAAGCAGCGATAAACACAAACCCATGCATTATTGATGAATAAGGGTGAGTTCAGGTTGGTGCGATCGGTGTAATTAAATATAAACCTCAAGCTGCCCATTGTTAGGGACAAATTACATTACTATTGCGACACGTGTCGGGGCCGCGCCGGCCGGGGGCTCACGGCCTGGACCCCCCCCCCGCACCCCCCGAGAGGGACGGGGCACGAGTGGGGACCCCACGGCACCGGGGCCGGGCCCGTCCCCATCCCGGATCCCTGCGCGGCGAGGACGGTGCCCCACGGGCCCGGGGACACGCGTGGCGGATTCGTGAGGACAGCAGAGATGGGGCGGCCCCACACGGCCCCTGTGGATGGCACAGCCCTGGCACACACGTGAGCACACACATGAAAACGCCTGGCACACATGTACAGATGTACACAGCCCTGGCACACACGTGAGCACAGACGTGGGTGCACACATGTGAACACGCCTCTTACACATGTACAGATGTACACAGCCCTGGCACACACGTGAGCACACACATGGACATGCCTGGTACACACATGTGGATGTGCACAGTCCTGGCACACACATGAGCACACACATGGACACGCCTGGTACACACATGTGGATGTGCACAGCCCTGCCACACACATGAGCACACATGTGGATGAACATGCATGAACACGCCTGGCACACATGTAGAGATGTACACAGCCCTGGCACACACATGAGCACACACATGGACACGCCTGGCACACGCCTGCAGACGTTCACAGCCCTGGCACACACATGAGCACACACATGGACATGCCTGGTACACACATGTGGATGAGCACAGCCCTGGCACACACATGGATGCACACACATGGATGCGCACACATGAACACACCTGGAACACGCCTGCAGATCTGCACAGCCCTGGCACACACATGCACACACTCACACGCACTCACACGCTCACACGCGCACACACATGCACACACATACACACACACATGCACACTCACATCCACACCCCCTCCAGGCTCCTCCCTCCCTGTTCCCTCCTCCCCTCCCCTCACCCCTCACCGCGGGGACCCCCCCCCACTCCATTCCGCCAGCCCCGACCCCCCGCGCGTGACCGAACCCCCCGTGGGCACCGCCCCGTCCCCTGCGCCCCTCGGGGACACCCCCAGACCCCGCGGGGACAAGCGACAACGACCCCGGGGGGGCTGCGGGAGAGCGACGAGCCCGGCTGTGCCCCCCGGCCCCCCCTGCCCGGCGCGGGGTGGGGGTGCCAGCTGGAAGCTATTTATTAACCAGTCATGGTTAAATTGGTTTATAAATTAACAGATGTTTTAACTTTATTCTTTCTTCTGGGAATGGAGGCAGCAAACTGGGCTGTGCTGGCGGCCGGGACCCCCCCCCACACCCCCGGGGGGGGTCAGCGATGGGTTGGGGGGAGCAGGGGGGGAGCCCCCCTTCAGCCCACCCTGGCAGGGCTCCGTGGGGGCACCGCGATGAGTTTGAGGATCTTTTGGGGTCCCCCCTGTGCAGGGAAAAGGGGTGGGTGGGGCTTCAGGTGTAGCGGGCAAGTGCTACAGGTGGGTAAACTGAGGCACGGGATGACCCCCCCCCTCACTGCGCTGCCTCTCCGAGACTCACCACTGCACCCCTTCCCTCCTGGAACACCCCCAGATCTGTCCGCCCCCCACATTCCCCCGCAAGGTTTTCCCGGGCACACCCTGGCACCGGGCTCTGTGTGCAGCCGCTCTTGGGTGGGTGCCCACCCCGGGGTGCTGCCCCAGGACCCCCCAGTGCCCCCAGTGCCACCCCGCGGTGTGGGTGCCAGGCTGGGCATGGGCCCGTGGCTCCGGCCCCGCTGTGCCAAAGCCCTTGAGCTGCTGCCCGGCCCACGCGGCCGTGCCAGCCGCGGGTGGCCGTGCCAGCCTGGCCATGCCAGCGTCGGCAGTGACATCTGCCACCGCGGCACCCGGCGCTGGCGAGGGCACCGGTGGCACCGGGAGCGGAGGGGCCTGGGGGAATGCAGCCCCCTGCCCGCCCCGTGGGGGTTCAGGGGTGCCACTCCTCCTCCTCGTCACGCTGGGGACGCGGCCACCCCTGTCCTGCCGGGTGTGGGGACACAAGGCCCCGTCCCGCCGGGAATCCAGGGGCACGGCCCCTCCTCGCACTTTTTGGGGATAGTGGGTGGCAGACACCCCCCATCATGCTAAAAACATGGGATTGGAGCCCCTCGATAGTTCTGCAGGTACAGCCCCCCAGCCCTGCCTCAGTTTCCCCATCGCACCCCCAGTGCTGCCCGGTGCCCCCCGTGAAACCCCATTTTGGGAAGGTCCCTCCCAGGCCCCCTTCCCCTCTGCAGCCCCCCAGGGTGGGTTCCCAGCAGTGAAGGGGTTAATCCCCCTGCTCTCTCTCCCCCCCCCACCCGCCCCCTCGGGCTCCCACGCGTGCTCTGCTCCCACGCGCGTTCCCACTCCCACTCTGCACCCAGGGGAGCACCGGCCCCCGCTGCAGCTCCTGAGGGTGGCTGCACCCACGGGGGGGTCTTGGGGTGCGGGGGGCGGCTCGGGGGGCTCGGGGGACCCCCGGGAGTGGGGTGAGGGACACCCCCGCAGGGCCGAGCGGGGCCCGGAGGGGTATACGGGGTGAAGGGCGCTGAGAGGGGGTCCCGGCACCTCCAGCACGACCCTCACCCATCCTGTGGGCACATCCCCCCGGCACTCACCCATGGGCCGTGTGATTGTCCCCACGGTGTGTTCGTCCCCGCGAGGCCCTGTCCCTGCGGTGTCCTGGCCCAGGAAGGTCCTGTCCCCGTGGCACCCTGTCCCTGATGTACCCCATCACCGCGACACTGTCCCTGGCACACCCTGTCCCCACCACGCTCCATCCCTGGGGCACTTTGTCCCCATGGGACCCTGTCCCCACCATGCTCCATCCCTGGGGCACTTTGTCCCCATGGGACCCTGTCCCCACCACGCTCCATCCCTGGGGCACTTTGTCCCCATGGGACCCTGTCCCCACCATGCTCCATCCCCCACACACCCTGTCCGTCCCCACGATGGCCCCATCCTCAGGGCACTTTGTCCCCGTGGGACCCTGTCCCCACCGTGCTCCAGACCCAGCACACCCTGTCTGTCCCCACGATGGCCCATCCCTGGAGCTCTTTGTCCCCATGGGACCCCGCTGGGCACGATGCTCCACCCCAGCACACCCTGTCCCCTCGGTGTCCCACCCCCAGCACACCCTGTCCCTGTGGCACCCTGTCCCCACCACGCTCCGTCCCCGGTGTGCCCCCCGCACCACGACGCCCTGTCCCCACCGTGTCCCCACCAGGGTCCATCCCCGCACCCTCTGCCCCGGTGGCACCGCCCCGCGGGCTCCGCGGTGGGCTCAGGCGGGGGGCGAGCTCTTCTTCCCTCAACCTGCTGCTATTTTTACTCCCTCTCTGCGGGAGGATTCGCTGCTGCGCGGAGCTGCAGCCCCCGCGGCACCGCGGCACGGGCACGGGGACGGGCACGGCACGGGCTGCCCACGGTGCCGTCCCGGCGACGAGCGGGGCCATGTGTGCCACACGTGTGCCTGGAAGGTGCCCCCGTGTTGCGGACCCCCCATCCCCCGTGCCACGCTGCAGGTGCCACCCGCGGGTGACGCTGCGTGGGCGCGGGCGCGGGCGGCGCCTGCCGATCCCGGGGGGCTGCGGGTGCCGGAGCTGCCGCAGCGCAGGGAGGGGAGGGGGCCCGGCCACCCCCTCACACGGCGTCTTCGTGGGTGGGAGAAGCGGGAACAGCAGCGGGATGGAGCCCGGGAACCTGTTGCCATAACGACTCCGGGTCCTGGGATGGGGACGGTGCTCGGAGCCTGCCACGGGGACACCGGGCACAGGGGACAAGGGTGACCGAGGCACCCCTCACCTTGTCCCCAGATTTTGCTCTCTGTGAGGACACTGGGCTCTGCTGGCGCCTGATTTGTCCCCACCTGGCACAAGTTTGTCACCCAGAGCCACGTTTTGTCACCCAGAGCCCGGCTTTGTCACACAGAGCCAAGATTTGTCGCGCCGATCCAAGATTTATTGCCCAGAGCTGGACTTTGTCACCTAGAGTTGGCCTTTGCCACCCAGAGCCGAGATTTGCCACCCAGAGCCGAGATTTGCCACCCAGAGGCAGGATTTGCCACCCAGAGGCAGGATTTGCCACCCAGAGCAGAGATTTGTCACTCATAGCCAGGATTTGTCACCCAGAGCCGGGCCGGGCCGTGTTTTGCCGCGCGGTGCCGGGCGGGCGGGAGGCTGGTCCATGGCTCGGTGCCACTCGGGTAAATATTTTGCTGGAGCGGTGGCTGCTGGCCCACGGCCACCCGCAGCCGTTGGAGCACCGGGAGATCCGGGGGACGGAGCCAGTTCCCGGCTCCCCCTTCCTCGTTCCTGCCCAGAGGCGGCCCCATCGACACCGCCCCGGGACGTCCCAGGAGGGGACGAGCCACCACCCCGCTGTCCCCCTGCATGGGGACCCCCTGGTTGTGTCCCCTCGGTGAGGCCAGGAGAGGTGCCTCGATGTCCCTCGTTCCTTGCCTGGAATGTGCGGTTATCCTGGGGGATGAACCCCCCACCTCCCTCCCCCAGGGGGAATATTTTATGTCCCGTGGGATTTTCTATGGGGAAAATCTCCAAAAAATGGGGAAAAACCGGGGCAGGTGTGCACAGTCGTGGGTGAAGACACAGCTCCCGCAGCCTCGACATCCTGGGGGGCTGCAGTTTGGGGTGGGGGGCACGCAGGGGATGGGATGTTTTGGGAGTCCCCACGGATAGGGACTCTCTCCCCACTCCCTCCAGAGCGGGGGCCCTGTCCCGTGTGGCACAGAGCAGCCGCGTGGGGGGAATTTTGCCGCTGCCCACAAAGGGGTGGCAGCCGCTGTCCCTCTGTCCCCTGCCCCCCACCTCTGGGGACACTCAGGCGTAAGGAACAGGGACACCTATGGAGCCACCCGTCCCTGTCCCAGCGCAACCGGCCACTGCAGGCGGGGTCCCCCGTGGCAGGGAAGGGGTTAAGGACCCCCCCCAGGTTGGCTGAACCCCCTGGGGGGCTCCCCAAGGACTCATTACCGCGGCCTCAGCCCCCCTGCCCGGGGAGGGGGGGAATGAATAATTCAGCTCCTGGTAGGAAGACGTGTCCTCCCTCCCTCTCCTTCCTCCTCCTCCTCCTCCTCCTCACCGGCTCTGCCTTCCCCACCTCCCGCCACTCTCATTCCTCGTCGTACCGAGCCCCGGGTGCCACCGAACTCCGCTCGGTACCGGTGGCAGAGACCCCCTCCCCCCGGCTCCGGTGACTCCCGGCCAAGGCCATGGACCCCAAGGAGCGCAAGAAGATCCAGTTCTCGGTGCCGGCCCCCCCCAGCAACCTGGACCCCCGCGCCGTGGAGATGGTGAGCGGGCACCGGGACCGGGAGAGGGGAGCGGGCACCGGGGCAGCCCGGGGGTCCCTCCTCCCTGCCGGGCAAAGCGCTGCCGGTGACCTCGGGACAAGGAGGGACCCCCGGAATGGCCGCGTGGGACCGGAGGGGGACACGGGAGAGCCCGAGGGGGCTGGAGGGAGGCGGGGAGGGACGGGGACAGCGGGGACGGGATGGGGACAGAGCGGGACAGGAGGGAGGGGATGGGACAAGGGGGATTGGAGGGGACGGGAGGGACGGGATGGGACCGGGAGAGCAGGACAAGGGGGATCGGGGGGGACCACGGGACGAGGCAGGGGATGGGACAAGGGGGATCGGGGGGGACACAGGGGACGAGGCAGGGGATGGGACAAGGGGGATCGGGGGGGACACAGGGGACGAGGCAGGGGATGGGACAAGGGGGATCGGGGGGGACAGAGGGGACAAGGAAGGGGATGGAAGGGACAGAGGGGACGTGGGGGGATGCGTTGGGACAGATGGGATGGGACAAGGAGGAGGTGGGAGGGGACAGAGGGAAGGAGGGAGGGGATGGATCCAGGGGGAGATCGGAAGGGACAGAGGGGACAGGAGGAAGACGATGGGACCGGCAGAGCAGGAGAAGGGGGATCGGAGCGGGACGGGAGGGACAGACCGGACGGGACTGCGTGGGGGACACAGAAAGGCTGAGGAAGAGATGGGGACAGGACGAGAGAGATCCGAGGTCCCCGTGGAAGCTGCGGACCCGCACAGGGAGAGTTGTGCCAGGGGGACAGGGACAGGGACAGGGACAGGGACAGGGACAGGGACAGGGACAGGGACAGGGACAGGGACAGGGGTGGCACAGGAGAGCAGGGAAGGGATGAGACAGACGGCACAGCATGAGGACAGGGATGGGATGAAGGGGACAGGATACGCTGGGAGTCGGTGCAGCCACCCCGCCGGTTGTCCCTGATCCGAGGGGACGTCCCCAGCACACGCCGGAACCAGAGTCCCCCCGGGAGGAGCTGGCGTGGGGCTGGGACGCACTGGGGACACCCCGGGGACCCCGCACCGGGTGGGTTTGTGGCCCTGCACCCACAGGCGCACACACGCTCACACACGTGCAGACACGTGTCCCTGGGGCGCAGGGCAGGGGACAGGGGACCCGGGGCGTCCCCACCCAGCCGGTGACACCCCGCTGTGCCCCAGATCCGCCGGCGGAGGCCCACGCCGGCCATGCTCTTCCAGCTCTCCGAACACTCCTCCCCAGGTGAGCGGGAGGGACGGGAGGCGGTGGCGGGAGGGGACACGGTGGCAGGGATGGGACATGGTGGCGGGGATGGCACACGGTGGCAGGGATGGGACATGGTGGCGGGGATGGCACACGGTGGCAGGGATGGGACATGGTGGCGGGGATGGCACACGGTGGCAGGGATGGGACACGGTGGCAGGGATGGCACACGGTGGCAGGGATGGCACACAGTGGCAGGGATGGGACACGGTGTCTGGGGTGGGACACGGTGGCAGGGATGGGACATGGTGGCAGGGAGGGGACGTGGTGTCTGTCCTGCACGGTGTCTGGGGTGGCACACGGTGGCGGGGAGGGGACATGGTGGCAGGGATGGCACACGGTGTCTGTCCCGCACAGTGTCTGGGGTGGGACACGCTGTCTGGGGTGGCACACGGTGGCAGGGATGGCACACGGTGTCTGGGGTGGGACACGGTGGCGGGGATGGGACACGGTGGCAGGGATGGCACACGGTGTCTGGGGTGGGACACGGTGGCAGGGATGGGACACGGTGGCAGGGATGGGACACGGTGGCAGGGATGGGATGTGGCGGGGAGGGGCTGTTGTGCCACCTGTGGAATGGGATGTCTGGCAAGGGAGAGGGTGGCAGGGAGGGGCCGGAGTGTCACATAAGGAAGGAGGTGGCAGGGAGGGGACGCGGGTCCCGGCGGGCAGGGTGACCCCTGGAGGGGTCCGAGAGTGGGGCAGGACCTGCCCGGCCCCGCTGGGTGCCCGGGGCCCGCTCACCCTTCTCCCCCTGGCGCCGCTGACACAGAGGACGAGAACCTGCCCTACCAGGTGAGTGGGCACCGGGACCCCCGACACGGCCCCGCTCCCACGTCCCGTGTCCCCCGCGGGGCTTATCGGGGCCAGCCCCGGCGGCCGGAGCTTATCGGCTCCTTCCCGGCACGGGCACACGGCGCCGGGGACGGGGACGGGGACGGGGACGGGGACGCGGGATGGGGACATGGAGCCCAGCCAGGCTGTGGGGTTTGGCCGCCGTGCAAAGCAGCGCGTGACCGTCGCGGGGTGTCACCCCCTCAGTGTCCCCACTACTGTGTCCCCAGCGCCACATCCCCGTGGAGGGGTCCCCGTTGTTGTTTTGGTCCCAAAAACAAGGTCTCCATAACAGGGTCACCATCGGGGGCAGCCAAAACCATGTCCCCAAGGCAGTGTCCCCATCGTGGGGACCCCAGTGCCACGTCCCCAAGGCAGTGTCCTCATAGTGGGGACCCCAGTGCCACGTCCTCATGGCAGTGTCCTCATAGTGGGGACCCCAGTGCCACGTCCTCATGGCAGTGTCCCCATCGTGGGGACCCCAGTGCCATGTCCCGATGGCAGTGTCCCCATCGTGGGGACCCCAGTGCCATGTCCCCATAATCGTGGGGACCCCAGTGCCACGTCCCCAAGGCAGTGTCCCCATAATGGGGGTCCACAACACAGGATCCCCACGGCAGGGTCCCCTCAGAAAGGTCCTCAGGATGGTGTCCCCAATACCCCATCCCCATTGCAAGGTCCCCACACAGGGTCCCCAACACAGGGTCCCCAACACAGGGTCCCCAATACAGGGTCCCATCATGGTGTCCCCAGTGCCACATCCCCTTAGCAGGGTTCTCCTTGCTGGGGAGGGGTGGGTGTCATCTCCACTGCGAGACCCCCACCGCAACCCCCACCTCGCCGGGGGCTCCCGGGGTGGCGGTGACCCCCGTGGGGACACCAGCCCCCCCTTACCCCGACCTCGCTCCCCCCGCAGCGCTCATCGGGCGAGGGCTGCCTGCTCAAACCAAAGAGGACCAACCCGTGTGCCTACACCCCGCCCTCGCTCAAAGGTACCGGCGGCACGGGGGCAGCGGGGGGCCGGGGGGACACCCCGGTGTGCTCCCGGTGACACCGGTGACACCGGCGTCTCTCCAGCGGTGCAGCGCATCGTGCAGTCCCACCTGGAGAGTGGCATGGGCGGGGGGGACAGCTCCGATGGGGAGCCCGATGACGGCTGCGACCCCGACAGTGCCCTCGAGTCCGGTGAGGGGAGCGGGGAACGCGGGGATGGGGCTGCCGGAGCCCCGGGGATGCGGGGATGGGGCTGCCGGAGCCCCGGGGATGCGGGGATGGGGCTGCCAGAGCACCGGGGGTGCGGGGATGGGGCTGCCGGAGCCCCCGGGGATGCGGGGATGGGGCTGCCGGAGCCCCCGGGGATGCGGGGATGGGGCTGCCGGAGCCCCCGGGGATGCGGGGATGGGGCTGCCCCCGGGGCATGAGGGGATGGGGCTGCCCCGGGGATGGGGCTGCCGGAGCCCCGGGGATGCGGGGATGGGGCTGCCCCCGGGGATGCGGGGATGGGGCTGCCGGAGCCCCGGGGATGGGGCTGCCCCGGGGATGCGGGGATGGGGCTGCCCGAGCCCCGGGGATGCGGGGATGGGGGTGCCGGTGCCCTGGGGATGCGGGATGGGGCTGCCGGAGCCCCGGGGGTGCGGGGACGGGGCTGCCCCGGGGATGCGGGATGGGGCTGCCCCCGGGGATGCGGGGATGGGGGTGCCGCGGAGACATGGGGAGGGGGATTCTGGAGCCCAAGGGATTTGGGGGTGCGGTGATTTGCTGGGATTTGGGGGATGGGGACGTGGCGCTGCCAGACCCAGGGGACAAAGAGGCTTGGGGACACGGGGTGACAGACACAGAGGTGGCAGAGCCCCGGGGATGCGGAACACGGGGACCAGAAGCTCGGGGTGTGTGGGGACAGGATTGCTGCAGCCCGGGGGGCGCGGGGAGATGGGGACGGGGACCACCACCCCCTGTAGCCCTCGGCCGAGGACAAGGCGTGTGCCAGGGCTGCCAGGCCACCACGCTCCCCCTCCGGGCCGTGTCCCCGTCCCCCGCGGGGCCGGTGACGCCAGCCCGACCCCCGCCGCTGTCTGACGCGGCGCTGCCGGTGCCGGTGCCGGGCGTGCCTCGCCGTTCCTCGGTCTCATCGACCCCCGCCCGGGCAGCCCCGGGGAGTCAGGGCAGAGCCGAGCGCAGCTACTTCCCCGCCGGGCTGAAGGCGCACAAGCGGAAAGGTAACGGGATGGGATGGAGGGGACAGGGATGGATGGGGACGGGGGGGACAGAGGGACGGCAGGAGGACAGACACGGTGGGGAGGGGTGGCGGGAGGATGGGGACAGCGAGGGGACGGGGTGGTGGAGGGATGGGGATAGAGGGGGCAGGAGGATGGGGACAGCAGGACAGGGATGGCAGCAGGATGGGGACACAAGGACAGCGAGGGGACGTGTCTGCTCACTCGCCCGCTGCCGGGCGGGCACCAGGGCTCGGGGCCGCGTCCCCCCCGCCCCTCAGCGGGGTCTCCTCACGCTGAGGGTCCCCGGGGCCACCGTGCCGGTCGCCACAGGCGGGCAGAAGGTGTCCTTCGCCGGCGGCATCGACGAGCGCGAGGAGGACCTGAAGTCGCTGACGGTGTCAGAGATCCCCGAGGACCCCGAGGGAGCGGAGGGTGACGAGGAGGAGCCGGGGCAGGAGCAGGACGGTGGCACCGGGGGTACGTGGGCTGCCACCCCCCTCCCCTTCCCATCCCCCCGTGCCACCGCGCCCGGTGCTAACACCCCATTTCTGTCCCCAGAGCGGCGACACGTCGGTTTCGCCGAGGTGCCCTCGCGCCCCATCGGCACCGAGCGCCACTCGCCCACCTTCCCGCTGGGCACCAGTTAGCTGGCACCGGGCACCGGGCACCGGCCCCACCCGGCCCATCTCGGCCCCGCAGCTTCGCCTGTGCCCCCCGGCTGCCCCCCGCCCGCTGCCTGCGCTTCTCTGCCCTGCGCCGCGCCGGGACACGTCGGGACCCCCGGCCACGGCCACGGCCGCCCCCTCCCCATGGGCATCGTGCCCCCCCCTCCCCCGGCTGCTGGCGAAGGGACCCCCGGGTGCTGGAGGGGTCTGGGCCCCCCCCGGCTGCTGCCCCCCGGCCCCAAGCGAGCAGAGCCCCCCGCCCGCAATAAACGGCTGTACAGAGGCTGGAGCGTCTTTTGGGGGGGGTCTGGTTCTTGTTGGGGGGTGTGGGGCGGGGGATGGGGGGGCTGGAGATGGAGATGTGGGACCAAGCCATGGGGCGCCCCATGAACACACCCCTCTCCCATAGGGAATGGTCTGTCCCTCGCCCCACTGACTCCCCCCATGTGGGGAATGGTGTCTCCCAGCCCCACGGATACCCCCCATGGTCACCCCTCCACTGGAGAATGGTCTCTCCCAGACCCACTGGAACACCCCCAAGGAGGGGGAATGGTCTCTGCCTTGCTCACCCCATAGACACCTCCCCCCCCTCCACACGGGGAATGGTCTCGCCCTCACCCCACTGATTGCCCCTTTTGGAATGGTCTCTCCCAGCCCTACTGATTCCACCTCCCACGAGGAATGGTCCTTCCCAGCTTTATTGAGCCCCCGTATGAGAAATGGTCTCTCCCACTGACCCCCTCTCCCGCTGTGAGTGGTCTCTCCCAGCCCCACTGATCCCTCCCGACGGGAATGGTCTCTACCAGCCCCACTGACCCCCCTCCCGCGGTGAATGGTTTGTCCCAGCCCCACAGGGTCTCTCCCAGCCCCACTGACCCCCCCTCCCGCCGTGAATGGTCTGTCCCCCCCCCCCCCCCCCCCGCGGCCGGCGATGGTCGCTGCCGGCGCAGCCTCGTTCTCGTTCTGGCGTTTCCCTTCCGGGGTCGGAGGTGGCGGCGGGACCGGACCCGGACCCGGGACCGGCACCGGGAGGTACCGGGGGGTACCGGGGGCCACTTTGGGGACATTTCGGGGACGTTTCGGGGGGCTCAGAGCCGTTCCCGGCCCTGACGGTGCCGGGCAGCCTCGTTGGGGCCTCGGTGCCGCTCCCGGCGGTACCGGGACGGGACGGGGCTCGCTGGGAGGCCTGACCTCAGTCCCGGTTACCGGCACCGGGCCCCGCGGCTGCGGCAGGCCTCGGGTAGTCCCGGTCGGGTCCCGTCCCGGTCGGTCCCGTTATATTCCCGGGCCCTGCTCCGCTTCCCGGGAGTCCCGGCAGGGAGAGCCCGTCCTGGTGTGCCCCGGGGGACCGGATCCCACCGAATAAAGCCCAAATCCCGACCGAATGCAGCCCCGAATCCCGACCCAATCCAGCCCCGAATCCCGACCGAATCCAGCCCCGAATCCCGACCGAATCCCGACCGAATCCAGCCCCAAATCCCGACCGAATCCAGCCCCACATCCCAACACACATCCCGACCCAAATTCCGCCCCACAACCAGCTCCACATCCGAACCCAAATCTTGACTGAAATCCCACCCCACATCCAGCCCCACATCCAGCCCCAAATCCCACCCCACATCCCACCCCAATCCCGCTGTGAACCATCTCTCCCGACCCTCGGGACCGGGGGGGGGGGGGTCCCACGGGGGCTCCGAGCACTGAAACCCCCAAATGTGGGGCTGGGCTGTGCCTCCTGCTGCCTTTGGGGCACGGGCAGGAGAGCCCTAAACTGCCCCCGGATCTTTGGGAGCTGAGGAATTAGGGGATGCTGCAGGATCCCACAGCTGGCTCTGGGACAAAGCTGCTTTTCCCGAGGCTCTCCCGAGTTTCCCTGCACTGCCAGGGGGGTCATGGGGGTCTCGGTGTCCCCCCAGGCTCTCAGTGTCCTCTCAGGGTCTCGGTGTCCCCACAGGGGTCTCAGTGTCCTCCCAGAATCTCGGTGTCTCTATGGGGATTTTGGTGTCCCCACAGGGGTCTTGGTGTCCCCACGGGGGTCTTGGTGTCCCCACGGGGGTCTCAGTGTCCTCCCACCATCTCAGTGTCTTCTCAGGGGTCTCAATGTCCCCACAGGGGTCTCAGTGTCCCCACGGGGGTCTCATTATCCTCATGGGGGTCTCAGTGTCTTCATGGGGGTCTCGGTGTCCCCACGGGGGTCTCAGTCCCCCTGGGGCTCCCCGTGTCCCCCCTTGGCCCTGAACCAAACCTTCTCCAGCGCTTTGCTCCATTGGATCCTTCCCAGTTTTTTCTTTTTTTGGCTGGAATTTGCGTGTCTGTTTAACATCGACACTTTTTTGTTGTTCTAAAGGGCGGCTCTGACCCCCCTCAGTGCCCTGTGGGGTCTCCATCCCCCCTCTGGAATCTCCCCCAGGGTCCTGGCACGGCTCAGGGGGCTGCAGCGGCTTTGGGGGTCCCCCTGTGGGTGCTCCCCACCCTGGGCTGCACCCCTGGGAGAGGGGACAGCAGAGGGGACACAGGAATTGTCACATGAGCCTGGGGAAGTGTGGGAGGAAGGAGAAGTGGTGTCACGGGGTCATTAACGGGACACGGGGCTAACGAGGGTGACACGGGGCTTTGGGGTGACACAGGGCTTTGGGGTGACAGGGGCTTTAGGGGTGACACGGGGCTTTAGGGGTGACACGGGGTTTTGGGGTGCTGGCACTGGGCTGATGGGGTTTTACTGGCTGTTGGTGCTGAATACTGGCTCAGGTTTTCACCAGATCTGTGTTAGCTCCTGCTGGGATCCTGCTGGGATGTGGTGCCACCCTTGTCCCTGCAGCTCTGTCACCTCCTAGTCCCCAAACTGGGACCTTTCCCTGCCAAAAATCCTTCCCCAAAATCTCAAATCCCCTTTTTTCAAGTCAGAGAAGCCCAGAAGGGTTCCTGCAGTGTCCCCTGGGCTATGATTTGTCACCCAGGGTGTTCCCCTGGGATGTGATCTGTCATTCAGGATGTCCCCTGGGCTGTGATCTGTCACTTGGGGTGTCCCCTGGGCTGTGATCTGTCATTTGGGGTGTCCCCTGAGACGTGATCTGTCACTCGGGGTGTCCCCTGGGCTGTAATCTGTCACTCGGGGTGTCCCCTGAGATGTGATCTGTCACTCGGGGTGTCCCCTGAGGTGTGATCTGTCATTTGGGGTGTCCCCTGGGCTGTGATCTGTCACTTGGGGTGTCCCCTGGGCTGTGATCTGTCACTTGGGATGTCCCCTGAGGTGTGATCTGTCACTCGGGGTGTCCCCCACACTGTGATTTGTCACTTGGGGTGTCCCCAGGGCTGTGATTTGTCACTCAGGATGTCCCCAGGGCTGTGATCTGTCACTTGGGGTGTCCCCCAGGCTGTGATCTGTCACCCAGAGTGGCCCCCCAGCAGCGTTTGCCCCTCACTGGGATGGAATCCTGGAATCACTGAGGCTGGAAAAGCCCTCCAGGATCATCTCCAAGAACCTGTCAGGGTTCAGGTTGTCATGCACAGCCACGTCACCCCTAACCCGTGTCCCCAAGTGCCACATCCACACGTTTTTTTGACCATTCCAGGGATGACAACTCCACCTCCCAAAGCCTTTCAGTGAATAAATCCCCCTGATGTCCACCCTGGCACCACCTGGGGCCTTTCCCTCTCATCCCATCCCTCATCCCGTGGGAGCAGAGCCCGACCCCCACCCGCCCCGCTCCTTCCCGGGCTGCCGGAGCGGGATGCGGAGGATGCTGGAATGCATAATGGAGCAGAGCTCAATAATTCATCTGTCACCCAGGAACAGCCACGTTTCTCCACACCCAGCCCCTGCTCCCCGCTCTCAGCTGCCTGAGGGAGCAGCTCCACTCGAGGGGGGAGCTGGTGTGGGATTCAAACATTCCTGCTCTGCCCCACAGAGCGGCTTCTCCCTCGGGAATGGGATGGTTTGGGAGCCCAAAACAGCCCAAACCTCTGGGATTAAGGATGGATGAGCTGCACCGGGGTGCTCTGGTGCCGTGTCCTGCCTGTCCCCGTGTCCTGCCGTGTCCCAGCACCCCACTGTGACCCCTCTTGGCATCCCTGGAGCCTCTCCGGGTGATTTTAAAGCGCTGTGAAAGTTGGGGAGGGGCTGCCTAAGTGCAAAGTGCTGTCGGAGGGGAGGAGGAGGCGGCGGCAGCCCCGGCCAGGGGGGGATTTATTATTTATCCCTCACAGATGTCCTTAACTTTTGTCACTTCGAGCCGGGCCCGGCGTGCGGAGCGGCTGATCCGAAGTGACAAGGATTCCAGCTCCTTCCCAAGCACCTCCGAGAGGCATTGACAGGGATTTGACAGCGGTCCAGCTTTGTTCCCTTCCCAGCCCCAGCACTCCCCGGGGTGGGATGCAAAAACTGCTGGCTCAGGGATCCAAACTGCCCCAAACTGCCCCAAATCGGGCTGCGCTCGACTCCTGCAGGTGCTCCTGGCTGGCTGCACATTCCGTGGGATTTCCACTCCACACAGATCTGACCTTTTTCCCTGGATGTCACGAGTGGGATCAGTGGTGGGCAAACCTCAGTGGGATCCCAGCAGGCGCAGAGCTGCCGAGGCAGGAGCTCACAGCACAAGCAATCCATGGGGATATTTTTGGAGGCAAAACGTCCTTGAGCAGGAGGATTTAGCAGGGCAGGAGTTTGTGGCTGTGGCGTTGCCGTGGGTGACTCGGAGGTGGCGGGGCCGGGGCTGACAGATCCCTGGCCCGACCTGTTTTTTTGGGATCCGTGTTTGTCCCCGGCGTGTCACACCCCCTTCCCAACAGCGGCCTCCTTGTGCTGCGCTGACGGAGAGGAAAAATCCCAATACAATGGTTGGCACAGCTGCAGGAAAACAGCCCCGGCAGCCCTGCAACACCTCGCTCGTGCCGGGAGCGTGTGCCCGGCACTGCCAGGCGGGGCTGGGACACGGAGCAGCTCCTTCCCTGCTCCAGGGACACGGAGCAGCTCCTTCCCTGCCCTGGGAGATGGAGCAGCTCCTTCCCTTCTCCAGGGACATGGAGCAGCTCCTTCCCTTCTCCTCAGACATGGAGCAGCTCCTTCCCTGCTCCTGGGACATGGAGCAGCTCCTTCTCTGCTCCAGGGAGATGGAGCAGCTCCTTCCCTTCTCTTTGGACACGGAGCAGCTCCTTCCCTGCTCCTGGGAGATGGAGCAGCTCCTTCTCTGCTCCAGGGACACGGAGCAGCTCCTTCCCTTCTCCTGGGACACAGAGCAGCTCCTTCCCTTCTTCAGGGACACGGAGCAGCTCCTTCCCTTCTCCAGGGACATGGAGCAGCTCCTTCCCTGCTCCAGGGACACGGAGCAGCTCCTTCCCTTCTCCTGGGACATGGAGCAACTCCTTACCTGCTCCAGGGACATGGAGCAGCTCCCTCCCTTCTCCTGGGACATGGAGCAGCTCCTTCTCTGCCCCTGGGACACGGAGCCCCTTCTCCAGGGAGATGGAGCAGCTCCTTCCCTTCTCCAGGGACACGGAGCAGCTCCTTCCCTTCTCCAGGGACACGGAGCAGCTCCTTCCCTTCTCCAGGGACACGGAGCAGCTCCTTCCCTGCTGCCTCCCTGCTCTGCCTGGCCCAGCCAGGCATCAGGCCCAGGGTTCTTTCCTGGCTGGGATCTGTTCCAATGGGATGCCGAGCTCCCCAGGCTTTCCCTTCCCTGCAGAAGGAAGGGTGGGGTGGCTTCATGGTTTCAGGGAGCGCTCCCAAAACATCCTCACAGCCTTTTCCTGCGTCCACAGTGTCTCTGTGGGGTTTGAGACCCCTTTTTTTCTCTTTCCACAACATTTTCACGGGGTTTGCAGCTCCTTTCCATGCTGCCATGGCATTAAAACCCACCCAGTCCCACCCCTGCCATGGCAGGGACACCCTCCACTAGCCCAGGTTGCTTCAGGGTCCATCCAGCCTGGCCTGGGACACTTCCAGGGATGGAGCAGCCACAACTTTTCTGGGCACCCTGTGCCAGGGCCTGAGCACCCTCCCAGGGATGATTTCTCCCCGGGATCTGATTTGCTCCTGGGATTGTCAGAGCAGGACAGGAGCAGGGGTGTGGCGAGCCCTGTGTCCCCTGTGTGTCCCCGCAGGTGACGCTGCCCTGGTGGCCGATGTCCCCGGAGGATGAGCAAGCCCACGGACCTGCAGCACGATCTGGAACGCAGCCTGCCCGCCATCGCCTCCATCAGCTCCTCCTTCTCCCAGAGCCAGGGCTTCTCCCCGTACTTCCTCTCCCCGGAGAAGAGAAAAGCCATCTCAGATGTGAGGAGAACCTTCTGCCTCTTCGTCACCTTCGACCTGCTCTTCATCTCCCTGCTGTGGATCATCGAGCTGAATGTGAGTTGGAGGAAGCAAACCCGGGAATCTTTGCCCTTTCTAAACTCAGTTCCCTCCGTTAATTGCTCTGTTCCAGCACTCCTGGGACGGATCTTTGTTTGCTGTTCCCAGCACTGGCCAAGGAGCCGCTGTTCTTTAATATAAACTAAAGTCCAGCTCGTTTCCTGCCCCGGGGCTTTGTCGGGGCTGTCCGGGGTTGTTAACACCTCCCTTTGTTGTGCTGTAACAAGATCCAGGGCCTCTGGAATCACCGAGTTGAGCCAAATTCCCCTCCTGCTCCCTGGGTTTGCTGCTGCCTCAGAGCATCAGAGGAGCAGGAGGAGGATCCTCCAGGGGCTTTGATCCCAAAATTCTGCTGCTAATCTCAGCTTTGGGAAGCTGGAGGTGCTGCTCCACCTCCCAAGGGATTGCTGAGGGGGATGTGAGTGGTTTGCTTCACTCACAAGCTGCTGTGTTTGCTCTGTGTTGCAATAACAGGGAAAAATCCAGTTTATTTACCTCAGTCCCACCAAGTCCAAATCCCTCCCTGGGCTATATTTTGTTTTTATTTTCCCTGAACCGGCCCTGGCTGGTTTCAGGTACTCCATGTCCTCCCCTGGAGGAGCAGAGATGGACAGATAGACTCTGGGCTGCATTTATCAGCACAGGATCCTGCTGCTCGCTCAGCAGCTCTTATCTCTGCCCTCCTTATCTCTGGGTGTCTGCACTTCACAGACTGTCCAGGCCAGCAGCTCCTCACCCTGCCCAGAGCCCCCTGCTCCCCACCCCTCTTAGGAAAAACCATCTCCCAGCCAGCATTCCAGCCGTGCCGACGGTGTCCTGCCCGCCCAGTTTGGACCCCAGCCCCCTGCCCTTGTCCCAGTCCTCTCACGGAGAGGTGCTGGAATTCCGAATTCCAGCCCCCAGGAGATAATCCCGGCTTGGTCACCAGGGTGATGCTGAGCGTGGGTCGTGCAGGTAGCCATTAATGAGTGACTAAGTGCTGATATTTGGGCCCCGAGCTGAGATGTTGCATATTTAAAGCCATTAGAGCAGCTTATTTGCCTGGTTATGAAGAGCAACAGTTTGATATCATGACTAATGCCTTTTTTTTTTCTTTTTTTTTCTATTTTTTTTTCAAACCAACCGTTTCCTTCACTGCAAGATAAGCCGAGCAAATTGCCCCTCGTTAAAAGCAAACCCTAATTGTGCAGGCTGGGTGCTCTCAGAGCCAGGGAGATGCCTCAGGTGGTTCATCTGCCTGTGTTTAAGCTGAAAACACCCCCCAAAGCTTTCCCTGTGTTCCTGCAGCATCCCGTGGAGTCGGGGTGTGGGGATGAGGCTCTCAGTGGCCACTCAGCAAAGCTGGCCCGAGTCCCCTGGCCACAAGTCAGCTGGAGGCACAGCCCAGCTTCACTCCCCCTCTTTTTGCCCTTTTGTTGGATATTAAGCCCCATCCCAGAATGGGAGGCATCCCTTCCCAATCCCAGTGGTTTCCTGTGCTGCCCTTGGAGTGCCAGGACACCCCTCTGCCAGGGACTGGCAGCCACCAACTCGTTCCTCACAGTGAAACACCCCCCAAAAACCATCACCCAAACATTTCCCTGTGCCTCCTCCTTCCTGCAGCATCCCTTGGAGCCACAGAGGGGCTTTTGGTGGCCACTCAGCCAAGCTGGCCCGAGTCCCGTGGCCACAGATCAGCTGGAGGCACAGCCCAGCTTCACCCCCCTGTTTTTGCCTCCTTCTCCCTGGATTTGCAGCCTGACCCAGAGGGATCCTTTGCCAGTGGCTGCCCTTGGAGTGCCAGGACACCCTGGCTGCCAAGGACTGGCCCGGGATCCACCAGCTGCTGGCTCTGCCAGCTCCCAGCCAGCTGGGCCCCGTCCAAAGCCATAGCCTAAAGGTGAAGCATTTGTTCCAGTTACCTGAGCCCTTCACTTCCTCGCAGACAGCCATTCCAGCCTCCCAGGATTTATGGGGGCCAAAGGACCAGGGCTGTCAGACCCTGGATTATCTCAGGATGAGTTTTTTCCACGCTGCTGTCAGTCCCAGAGAGGGTTTTTGCCTCTCTCAGATTCCCGTGGCTGTGCATCCCCCCCTCTCCTCCCTTTGCCAGCACGTTTGATCCTGCTGGTTCCCTTCTTCCACCAGATTTCCTGGAGCACTGCTGTGAGCTGTGGGAAGCCAGCTGGAGGGAGAAGGGACCCCTCATGAGGAGGTTCTTAAATCCCCCCAGGGATTCAGTGACCCTGACAGCCCTCACAGGAAGATGTTCAGTGCATTAGTGGAGGTTCCTGAAGACCATTTTTCCTGTGGTTTTCCATTTTTTCCATGTCTCCTGCCATTCCTCTGGAATCTGCCAGGTGGGCAGCAGTGGCAGGTGGCCATCCAAGGGCTCCAGGCTGTGAGGAGCTGGTGGCACTGGCCGTGCTGAGCCAAGGATTTGGGTGTTGGAAATCACCACCTGGAGGTTTTTAATGTCCCTCCTGCCCAGCCGTGCTCCTGGGTGTGAATCCCTGGGGGAAATGTGGTGTGATCCAGGCAGGGAATGTGCCATGGGATCCTCCCTGGTCCTGTGCTGGCAGAGGAGCCCACGCTGGGCCTGTGGGACCATTTCTGTTCCAGATGCATTCCCTGACCTGGCCATAACCCTGGGCACTGCTTAGCTCCTTCACCATCAGTTTCTTATCAGTGCACTCAACTATTGTAAATGCAGGCGAACCCGATGGGAAGAAATGACGATGTCTGACTCAATTCAGAAGGCTGAATGATTTCTTCATTATATCTTTGCTAAAATACATCAATACACTATATAAAAGGAGGATACTAAAACTACATACTACTTTCTCTGACTCTTAACTCGTGACCCTCTCTTGAGAGTCCAGACACAAGTGGATTGGATTGGCCATCAGGCTCAAACAATCCTCACCAGAATCCAACCAAACACTCCAGGTAAACAATTCTCCAAACCCATTCCACATAGCAAAAACAAGGAGCAGAAATAGAAATTGTTTTCTCTTTCATTTCTCCCTGTGCACCTCTATGAAAATCCTGAGAGGGAGAGAAATGTGCTTGCCACACTCAACAGCTTCCTGCTTCCCTGTCTCCCTCAGACCAAGGTGGGCATCAAGGAGAACCTGAAGGATGAAATCATCAACTACAGATTCAAGACCTCCTTCTTTGATATCTTTGTGAGTATCTCAGCCTCCTGCAGGGCTCTGGGGCTCAGTGGGGCCGGGAGGGTCTGGGCTCTCCCCTTGCCCAGCTCGGTGAATCCCTCCTGGTGCAGCCTTGATCCGTCTGTTCCCCGGGAGCTGGTGGCTGTCCCTGCCCTCCCAGCACCTGGCAGAGGGACAAGGGCAGTGAGGCAGAGGGACAAGGGCAGTGACTGGTGTTGCTGGGTGTTGGTTGTTGTTGCAGCTCTTGGCTCTGTTCCGTTTTGTCGTGCTGCTCCTGGGCTACGCCGTCGTCCGCCTGCGCCACTGGTGGGTCATCGCGGTAAGGAGCCACTCCAGCCTCTCCTCTGGGGAGTTTCCCCTCTCCTCCTGGACTTCTCCTGGATCTGAGCTCTGCCCACTCATTTTTCAGGTCACTACACTGGTATCCAGTGCCTTCCTGATTGTCAAGGTCATCCTCTCCGAGGTTGGTTTCCCTGGGCTGGCAGGAAGTTGCTTTGTGATTTCTCAGTGCTGTTTTATTCCCTTTTTGGGTCATTCCCTGGGGATTTCTGCTTCTTTCCACACAGCTTCTGACCAAAGGGGCTTTTGGGTATTTACTTCCCATCGTCTCGTTTGTCATTGCTTGGCTGGAGACCTGGTTCCTGGATTTTAAAGTCCTAACTCAGGAAGCAGAAGAGGAACGATGTGAGTATTTTTGCTCCTCTCTGGTAAGAGCTGGACAAATCCAACCAGGCCTGCTCTGGCATCACCATGATCTGACATTTCTGGGAAAGGGATCTCCAGGCTGGCTGGGATGGGAAGTGCCTGACTCAGTTCTGTTATGGTCAACAAGTCCCTTCAGGGGAAGAAAATACCAGATTATAAAGAGCATCTTTTAACTGAGGGGAGGAAAAATGTGCCAGATTTCCCAATGGCTGGATCCTGCAGCCAGACGTGCTGGAGACAGAGCTCAGCTCTGCATGGGAGAAAGTGTTTGGAAACAGGGAGGCAAATGCCAGGCAGAGTGTTGGACTCCCTGTCCCTGATATCTGTGTTTGGATCTGGCTGCAGCCCCTTTCCAGGAGGGCTGCTGGAGTCACAGACACATTCTGTGGCGGGGGTGAATTATGGGGTGTGAAATTCTGTGGTCTCTGAGGTCACACTGAGCAGGGATTGGGGCTGACCTAATGCTTCACACATCACCCTGTGACTTCCAGGGTCCTTCTAGGGACCTGCTTTGTCCCTCTCCCAGGAGTCACTGGCTGGGAAGTGGCACCAGACTAAGAGGGGCATTTGTCAGGCAATCAGAAATGCTCTGACTGCAAAGCACCAGAGGATGTTTGGGTCTTGCAAGGAGGCTTTAAAATTGAAAAATGATCAAGTGTTTAATGCCTCTATTGGATTAGGCTCAGGTTCCAAATTGCTTCCAGGGGAAGCTCTTATTTAATTAGATGCTTAATCGCCTTTGGATTATTTGACAGGCAGAAGAGCCCATTGATCTCCGGGGCAGATAAAACATCTCAGACAAAAGATGAAGCAACAGGAGCTGAGGCTGGCTGGTGTCAGTGGGAAAAACAAGAGGGTGTTTTGGCAGGGCTGGTGTCCCACAGCCTGCCAGGTGTTAAATCCTTGTGCTCCCATTCCCAGGGTTCCTGGCAGCCCAGGCTGCAGCCTCGAGGCCACTGCTGTACCCCCGAGCCCTCTCTGAGGGACAGTTCTACTCCCCACCCGAGTCCTTCGCAGGTAAGGTCACCTGTGCCATCACCTCTCTTCCCATGCTCATCCCACCCTGGAATTCCTCACCTCCATCATCTCTTCCCCGAGCTCTGCCTCGTTATCCCAACCCCTGGCAGAACCTCCAGGCACTGCCACACTCTCCACATGGCACCTTTTTATCAGAGCTGCCCTCGTCCCTGCGAGCCGGGCTGCAGCTCCGTGGGACACTGGAGCCTTGTGTGGGCTTGGGATTAAATGCTCTGAGCTCTGAGCTTGGAAAATGCTGCCCGGGGTGAGGATAAGGGCTGGTGGCACGTCACTGCCCTGTGCTGGCACTGGAGAGCTCCTGGCGTGGCAGTGGGGACATCTCAGCTGGATTGTCCTGGTGTAGCTGACACCAGGAGTGTCACTGAGGTGAGCCCAGCTCTCCAGAGCAGTTGTCCCAGTGTAGCTGACACCCAGGACAAGCTCAGCTCTCTGGAACACTGTTCCTGGTACAGCTGACACCCAGAACAAGCCCAGCCCTCTGGAACACTTTTCCCAGTGTAGCTGACACAGGGGTGAGCTCAGCCCTCTGGAATAGTTGTCCCAGTGTAGCTGACACCCAGGACGAGCCCAGCTCTCCAGGGCAGTTTTTCCAGTGTAGCTGACACCCGGGATGAGCTCAGCCCTCTGGAACACTGTTCCTGGTACAGCTGACACCCAGGATGAGCTCAGCCCTCTAGAGAGCCAAGCAGGTGTTCAGGGAGACAGGGAGTCATCCTCACTGAGAGCCCTTCCTGCTGGAGGAGGGACAGGGATCAGACCTTGTCCCCCACGAGAAGGGAGGGAGCTGGTACCACTGGGGTGTTAATTAACTGTGAGCTAATTGGTGCTTCCCCCTAGGCTCAGACAACGAGTCTGATGAGGAAGGTGTGGGGAGGAAGGCCTTGACAACTCAGGTAAACAGAGCCTGGCCCTGCCCTCAGCTCCCGCTGATCTGGGGCTCTGGGAGTCTCCCCAGTCTTGTGGTCCCATCAGGTTCTGCTGCCCCCCCATTCCAGACCCCTCAGCTCTGGGGACGTGTGGCTGAGCCCTCTCTGTGCCACAGGACTGGTGGCATGGCAGCCACTGCAGGAGGGGTCATCTGAGCCCCCCAGCTTTATCCCCCTTCCCCAGGGCTGTGTGCTCTGCCCTGCAGCATCCCACAGGAATGTGTTCTGGCCCTGCTCCTGCCTGTCCCTCCCCCTTCCCCCTTCCAGCCCTGCTCCTTTGGTCGCATTCTGGGATGGGCATCACCTCACTTGTCCCCGTGGCTTGAAGGGTGGCCCTTAACCTCCCCAAAACCTGGCTGGGCACAGGCTTTGTGCCCTCTTCCAAGAGCTCCTGCTCCTGTTCAGCCCAAATTCTGGCTCCTCCAGGAAGGAAGCTGCACATCCCAGAGCCCTTTGCCTGCTGGAAACCTTCCTGCTAAGGCAGGAGCCATCGGGAGCAGCTGGTGTGTGGATCCAAGCCAGGGCGGGGAGCGTGACTTGGAGCTCCAAAATGAGGCCTCTGTGACCCAAATTAAGAGATTTCTGATCCCCTTTCCCTCTGCCAGCCCGGGGAGGGGGGGAGCAGCCTCACACACACTCCTGCACGCCCAGCTAATGAAATCCTCCCTTCTTACCCAGGAAAAGGAGTATGTCCGACAAGGCAAAGAGGCCATGGAGGTTGTGGACCAAATCCTCGCCCAGGAGGAGAACTGGAAGTTCGAGAAAAACAATGCAAGTGTGGATTTTCCTCCCCAGCTGGCAGAGGGCATGGATGGCTTAGCAAAAACCGGGACAAACGAGGCTTTGGAAACCTCCTTGCGCCATGAAAAATTAACAAGCGTTACAATTACCTGATTGAATTAGGAATCTATTCCAGTTCAGTTAAATGTAAAATCCCCTCTTATTTAATTAGACGTTTAATTGCTTTGCAGTTTGACAGGAGAGGGGCCCTTCCCACCTCCCTCTGTCCGGAGGGTGGGCAGGGGTGGCTGGCTCACCTTTGGGATGCAGAGCCATGGGCAGGAGCAGGGGAATGCTGCTCCCACAGCTCCAGCCCTGCCCTTGCTCCATGCCCAGGTGCCTCTGAGCCTGCTGGGGGCCCAAACTGGAGTCTTGGCCCATGTTGGGCACTAACTGCTCTTCCCACCCCCAAAGCCGCTGGTGTCCCCCTTCCCCAGCACCTGGGGTGTAAATCTGGGATGTGGCTCTGCCTACTCCAGACTTTTTTGGGGTGCACAGAGCTCTTTCTTCTCTCTGAGGAGTGGAGAGGAAGAGGAGGGGTTTGTCCCCCAAACCCAACCTTGTTTCACGAGGTTCAAACACGACTGGGGCGGGGGGTGCGAATCCTGCAAACTGCTGTCTCATCTGCTGTTTCAAATTCCCCTGTCAAGTGATCCTTTGTCTGATGCCAAACTAGCTGGGCAGATTGTTTTCTTTTTCCAAAGGGGGATGGATTTAAATAGACTAATCAGAGTTTAACACAGGGCTAACGATGAAAGGTTTTCATCTGCCCATGCCCAGCCCCTCCGGGGAGGCTCCTCTCAGCTGTAGGTAACACCAGCAGCGCTGGCAGCGAACCCCTTTTGCACCCCAGTGCTGCTGCAAAGAGAATGTGACCTTGACGTGGGGTTTGCAGCCTGGCACGGGGCGGATTCTTTTTCTGTCTCATCCCTGCCGCCTCTCTGGATATTGTTTTGTTGATGGAAATGTGGGCATGGCCAACTGAAATGTTCTCAGGGCGGTTTCTGTGCCGAGGTCGCTGCCTGGTGTGGGGGGCAGGGGGTGCTGGGGGGCTGCAGGGGGTGACAGGAGCCTCAGAGTTCTAGCAAACCTCACCCTGAATAGAAACAATCCCTTTTTACTGATGCAAACACAACTTTCTCATCTCTTGCACAGGACTTCGGTGATGTTGTTTACACATTTGAAATCCCTTTCCACGGCAAGACCTTTATTTTAAAGGTAAGAACATCCTTGGGCCGATTCCTTGGTCTCTTTGGCACGGGGGAAGAGCCAGGGCTCAGCTTTCAGCACGGGTCAGGCTGCAGAACACTCTCCCTGTGCTTGAGACAGATGAACAGCACTGGGGAATCTCTCCAGGAAAACCCCTTGGCCGGCAGACAAACTCCCCAGTAAATATCCAAAACCCCAGACTCCTCTGGTCGAGTCGGGAGCAGGTGACTGCAAGACTCGCTTCCAACCCCAGCATCTCAGACTAATCTGACCAAGGAGGCTAATTGGAACTAATTGCCAGCAAGGCCAGGGCTGAGCGTGCGTCTGCTGCTGCCTGGCACGGGGCAGAGCAGCTCGGAAGTGCCTTGCTCCGTGCCCTCGCCCAGGCTGGAGTGGCTTGGCTGGGAACCACGCTTTAATGAAGCGTCGGTGCTGCCGTGGCTTTTCTTTGTTCCAGTGCATATGTTGCCTGGCTGGCAGGAGCTGCCAGTGGAGCAGCTCTTGTGTTCACCAGCAAAAGCTGGATGGTCCCACTTTACTGCATTCACCGTTTGCCTCCCAAGATCCCCGCTCCCGTGGGGATTGGGGGGGGAATGGAATGGATGCTGTGTGTGCTGGAGTCAAAAATGCAACTTCCCAAAGCAATGGTGCATGGGGAACTGCTGAGGGTAGGAGAGGGGCGGACAGACAGACAGGCAGAGCTCAGTGACTCCCAAATCCTGAGGTCTGTGTGAACCCCCTGACCCCTGGGAGCACTGGGGCAGAGGGGTGACAGCCCTGGCTTTGCATGCAGGGGAGCCAGGCCGGCCTCACCCCTCCCTCACCCGCATTCCCAGTTGTCCTTTGTGTTTTACCCCGTTTTCCTTAAAAATACTCTCCCCCAAGGGGAGCAGAGGGGCTGGCTGAGTGCTCTGGCTCTGTCCTCAGGCTTTCCTGCAGTGCTCCCCTGAAATGGTTTACCAGGAGGTGATTCTGCAGCCCGAGAAGATGATCCTGTGGAACAGAACAGTGGCAGCTTGCCAGGTGAGCGTGCTGGACAAAGATGGCTTAATCACAGGAGCTCCTTGGAGCGGAGAGCTGGAGCTCCCCCGTCCAACACGGGCTGCTGGCGGGGCTGGAGCCGAGCTGGATCCCAGGCACCGAGGCGTAAAATCCCCGCCGCTCATCCGTGCGCTCCGGCTGCACACGCCTGTGCCCGGCCAAGAGCCCGAGAGGTGGGCAGGGACAGGGGCCAGGGCTGAGCCAGAGCTGCCTCTGCCTGGTGGGGGGCTCAGAGCCTCGCAAAGGGGAGCTGGAGGTGACACCTGTGCCCCCAAAAACTCAGGAGATGAACCAGCACACCCACCGCTCGTCGCTCTCCGCCCCATAAGATCCTCTGGTCTGATCCTGATGCTGATTTGGGGGAAGGGCTGTATCCTCTTGGTACTTGCCACAGTCTGGACAAGTTTCCCTTCTTTTGATTTATTTCCCTCTGCCCTTCCCCAGATCTTGCAGCGGATTGAGGACAACACGATCGTCTCGTACGACGTGGCGGCCGGAGCTGCCGGCGGGGTGGTGTCCCCGAGGTCAGTTCATCCCACACTGCCCTTAAACACCCCCCAAACCCCGGGGAGACCCCTCTGGAGCACTGGGAATGCTCTGAGCTGCTGGTGTCACCCTGGTAGGGCTGCTTGGCCGTGCAGGTAATGCTCCCAAGGGCGAGCAGCCCCTGAAATTTCCTCCAGATGCTCCTGGCAGGATTCTCAAAGCTCCAAACCTCCTTCAGTCGGGCTCCCAGATATCAGTTCCCCGTGTTGACACAGCCTCTCCCAGCAGTCCAAAGAGCTGGATCTGCCCCCTGCACATCCCCAATGTGTTTTTAAGCCCTTTCTTTGCGCAGGGATTTCGTGAACGTGCGTCGGATCGAGAGGAGGAGGGACAGGTACGTTTCCTCAGGGATATCGACCACGCACAGCCTGAAGCCTCCGCTCTCCAAATATGTCAGGTGAGAGGCAGGTGCTGTTTTTTCAGCTGGGATCACGCACTTCTCCAGAGCTCCAAGGCAAAGAGCCACTTAACTGCAAGCCCTGCTGCCTTCCTGGCAGGATTTGCAGGAAGCTGAGCTATTTGTGGAGCTGAACCTCGCTTCCCTTGTTCGTCTCCCTTTGTTCAAGAAACTCTCTGTGCTGTCAGCGCTGCTGGGGCGTTTTCCAGCTCAGGGGAGTGGAGGTGCTGACCAGTAAGAGCACAAACCCCAGGCCCACATCCTGTTTATGTAACAGTTAATTCCCAAACAGGGATTTCTGAGGGGCAGTAAACAGCTGGCTGTGGCTCCGAGCCTCTCTCATGCCTTTTGCTCCTCATAAACTGTCGGAATCTGAGCTATTGATGGTTCCGAGATTGTAAAAAGTCTCTGTCTTTCTGCCCCGCTGCCAAAGAAGTCATAATTCATCTGTGCTGGTTTTTAAGGTTGTTTATTCTGTTTATCTCTAACATGTTCTGCTGCCCTGCCGCAGCTCTGTCCTGCAGGGCAGCGTGTGGGGCTCTGCCCTCAGTGGGATGTTACAAACATTAAATACCACAAACTACCTGTGCTGGATTTACAATAACGTGCCAATATCTGTCACCTACGTTGGACAGTGTGTCCCCAGCCTGAACCAACAGAAAAATGCCAACACCACAGTGAAACATGGAGGGCATGAAGGAGGAGAAAAAGGACAAGACACACCCAATTTCCTCCATCTTGTGCCCTCTGAACCCCTAATCTAGAATCCTAAAATTTTACTTTTGCACCCGTACCACACTTAATTATTACTTATATCAAACACTCAGAGCTGGTAATTCATCCTGTAAGATTGAAAACTCTTTTCCATGGACAGAGATCAGAGACAGTGTCTCTGGGGGCTCTGTCCAGGGGGGTTCCTGACCCCTGCCAGGGTCCCAGGGCAGCCAGAGGGAAGCCCTGGGTTCCCACAGTAAACTGCTCGCTCACCAAATTTGAGGCACTGAGGGATGAAACCGTGAGGATGGAGCAGCTCCCAAAATCTCAGCAGGGCTTTGGCCTCTCCCCTTCCAAAGGGACAGGCTGGTGATGGATCCCAGCGGGGCTGGGCTCGTCAGACAAGGACTCCTTGTTCCTGCCAGGGCCCAGCTGTGCCGCTGCGCGCTCCGACTTCACTCTTCTCAATAATCTGGTTAAAGTAATTGACATTTTATCTCAGAGCCGTTGGAGCTGCCTCAGTCTATTTAGGAACTGGGGACTTCAAGGCCTGGAAAAATCCTTTAGCGAAGGCACACAGCAAAAATAGCGTGTTGTGAAGAGGGAAGGGAAATCTGTATTTGGGCTGCGTGTGCACAGCTCCCGTCTCAGAGACAGATCAGATGGTGCCGGGAAGGATCTGGGGGCTGGTGTGACAAGTGCCAAGCCTGTCCTGAGCACACAGAGTTTCCTGGGACCTCTTGTTTGCTCCCAGGAAAGCTTCCCGTGGGGAGCAGCTGGCATGAGGCAGAGCTGCTGCTCCACCGGCAGCCCTGGCACCGCCGCTGCCAAGGCACCTGTGGGAAAGCTGCCCTGCCGTGCTGGCTCGTGTACCTGGAGCCAAGGCACACACCTTCCCAGGCTCCCAGCATCTGCTCCTGCCCCACTGGGCTCTGGCTTTCACTGCCAGGCTCAGCTCCATGTGCTGCATCCACAGAGAATCCCAGCCAGAATTCCAGCCTGGCTCTGCCTGACCCTCCTCTTGGCTTTCCTCCTCCACAGGGGTGAGAACGGACCTGGAGGATTCATCGTCCTGAAATGTCCCAGCAATGCCAAGGTCTGCACCTTCATCTGGATTCTCAACACAGATCTGAAGGTAAAGCCAGCTCCTGGGTGAGGCAGCTGCATCCCGTCCCCAGCACAGCTCTGCCCTCTGCTCCAGCATCCCAGCAGCCGTGGAAGTGGCCCCTTAGCAAGCACTGCCCTGAAGGGACTCAGATGTGGCAAGTGGGGGTTAAACTACTCCAAAATCCCCCTCTTTTCCCGGTGGGAGTTTGGGAAGTTACCTGGAAACTCTTCCTTATTTAAGGTCTCACTTAAGGGTTTCACCTCTGAGCGCAGGTCTGGGGGAGAGGAGGTTTTGATCCTCCTTGGTGACCAAACCCACTCCGAGGCATGGGCAGTTTTGTGCCTGGCCACTGCCAGGAGCACTCCAGAGGGGCAAATTCCCTTCTCCACAATCTCCTGGCACCACCACAACCACCCAAAATCCACCCCCGGGGGAGCGAGCTGAGTGTTGTCCTTGTCGGTGTCCCGGACAAAAGGCAGCACGGGGAGGGAGCGGGATTGGGGGAAAGAGGGATGGGGGCACGGAGGGGCAGGGATGGGGCACGGAGGGGCAGGGATGGGGGCACGGAGGGGCAGGGATGGGGCACGGAGGGAGCGGGATGGGGGCACGGAGGGAGCGGGATGGGGCACGGAGGGGCAGGGATGGGGCACGGAGGGGCCGGGATGGGGCACGGAGGGAGCCGGATGGGGCACGGAGGGGCCGGGATGGGGCACGGAGGGAGCGGGATGGGGCACGGAGGGGCAGGGATGGGGCACGGAGGGGCCGGGATGGGGCGGATGCGGGAGCGGGAGCGGAGCTGGCCCCGTTCCTTCCTCCGCGGAAGGTTGACGTGGTAACGGCGCTGCCGCAGCAGCACAAAGGCTCCATTCATCCCTGGGCTCTGCTGCAGCGCTGCAGCCCCCTCCCCTCCCTCCCCTCCCCTCCCACGGCCCCCTCCCCTCCCCCAGAGCCCAGCGGCTCCTGCCCGTTTTCCCAAACGCTTCGGGAAAGGTTTGGGAAGCTCCCGGAGCGGGACGTGCCCGCCCTGTTGTGCCAGAGATGTGTTTTCCCTCCCTTGGAGGAGGAAATCCTCCCAAAACCGGCAGGTTTTGGGGAGGGGGGGATGTAACAAACCCCCTCCCCACAGTGGTGGGGCTCGGAAAGAAAAGAGGTTCCTTGTCCTTGCTCTTCCCGGTGCCGCCTCCGCCGTGGAAGGAATGCCGAGCTATTAAAGCTATTAATAACCCCCAAGTGCTCCCACCGCCTTCCCCAGGGGCTCTGCCAGCAGCGCCCGGAGCCCTCCGCAGCTCCTGCTCTTCCCTTTGGCCCTGGGCGAGTATTTATAGCCCGCGGCTCATCCCTTCCTGCGCCTCGGGGGAGGGAGGGAGGGAGGATCCCGCACGTGTGTTTGTTTGCATCGGGAAGCGGCTGAAATGGCCCCTGGGAACAGCGGCCTCGCACTTTTCCTGCCCTTGTGTCCGAGGGAAAACCCCTTCCAGGAAAAGATGTGCGCTGGAGCACCCCCGGTCCCAGGGGAGGAGAATGTCCTGTGCCTGCCTGACCCTCGGGAGAGTTGGCCGCTCATCCATCCCTCGGTGCCCCGGAGCAGCTCCCGGCCCTGCCTCAGCTCCCTCCCCTCTCAGAGCCAAAGATTTTCATTTTTTCAGTTTTTCGTGGATCTCCCACCACGGAGCCGAGGCCGAGGCGGGTGGGGAGTGGGGGGGGTGTGAGTCGTGCAGGGCTTTTTTAGAGAAATCCAACCACATTGCAGCTCCTCCCCCGGAGCCGAGTCCCCGAGAGCCGCAGCTCCGCACAGCGGTGCTCCTGCATCCCTGGATCCCTCGGGATGGGATTGGGATGGGATGGGATGGGGGCAGAGCCCAGCCCCGACCCCCATTTATGGCTCCTGCATCCCTGGATCCCTCTGGGATGGGATGGGGGCAGCCCCCAGCCCCAAATCCCCATCACCCTGGCACACCCCGGAGTGGGACAGGACCAGCCCCCAGCCCTCGTTCGTGGCTCTGTGTCCTGCAAGCCTCTAGGCTGGGATGGGGACAGTCCATGTATCCCTGTCCCTGGAGCCTCCCAGGCTGGGGTGGGGACAGCTCCCAGCTCCAAATCGTCCCTGTGACCCCGTGTCCCCGTCCTGTGTCCCCAGGGTCGCCTGCCCCGCTACCTGATCCACCAGAGCCTGGCTGCCACCATGTTCGAGTTCGCCTTCCACCTGCGCCAGCGCGTGGCCGAGCTCTGCTCCAAGCCCTGAGGACATTCCAGCGGCCTCTCTGCTCCGTGGGGACGGGGACAGGACCCTGCACCCCCCGGCCGGGGGTCCCCCCACTGCCAGCTGTGGGCTGAGGCCAGGGGGGCTCAGCCCTTCCTCCCACCGCGGCTGCCCCCGATGTTTGGGGCCCTGGACCTGACTGTTGGTGCCAAATCCCTGCCCTGCCCGGGGCTGGGGGTGCCCCAACTCCCCACAGAGGGGCTGGGGGTGCCCCAGCTCCCCACAGAGGGGCTGGGGGTGCCCCAACTCCCCACAGAGGGGCTGGGGGCTCAGCTGGCACCCCCAGATCGCTGTGGCTGCGCCCCAATTCCCTGAGGAAGAGGGCACAGAGGTGGTGGCCGTGGCAGCGAGGACTCTGTGCCAGGCTCTGTGCCAACCTCTGCCCCTCCACCAGCGGGTGAAGGCACAATTTGTGACCCCCCCACCCCCACTGTGACCCTGGGGTGGGGGGCACAGCGCCGAGGACCCCCAAACCTCCCCTGGGTGCTGGCCCAGCCCCTTCCTTCCTTCCCAAAGGTGCAGCTCCCGGCAGGATTTGCCTTAAGCAGAGACTTGGATCCTTTTTGGGGGTGCTGGGGGGGTGTTGGGGGGTGTTGGGGGTGTGGGGGTGACTGCAGCTCCTCTACCTGCGAGCACCGTGTGCTGCTCTAAACACAGCGGGGGCTGCGCTGCGGGAGGGGGGCACCCACAGCCCCCCCGGCCTCTCTGCACCCCCACGGGGGTCTGGGGGTCAGCCCCCCACCCCCAAAATCTGTGGGGGCTGAATTAAAGCCTTGCACTGTTTGCAGCTCCGTGTCACCCACGTGGCCTTTGTCACCCAGTGAGTCGAGGGGGTGCGGGCGGATTTGGGGCTGGGGTCACCCCCAAAGCCCCCCAGCGCTGAAGGGTGGGGTCTCTGGGCTCCTTGGGCCACTGGCCGTGGGTGGCACTGGCTGTGGGTGGCATTGTCACCCACCCTGTGGTGGCACCAGCAGCTCTGTCGACCTGGAGCATTTCTGCCTGCACCAGCTGTGCTCGGTGCCCCTCCAACCCTGGGGTCATCGCTGGGGTGGGACCCCCATGCCTGGGGACAGCTCTGGGGGCTGTCACCAGCCACGTCCTCTCTGTCACCAGCCACGTCATCAGCCCTGGATCGCTGGCACCCCACTCTTGGCCCTACAAACGCCCATTTGGGGGTCCCCACAGCCCCAAACCCCTGTCCTGTGCTGGGGGGACACACTGGGAGGGACCCCAGTGTCCGGCGTGGCCGCTGTGGGTGGCACTGGCATGGCACAGAGGTGGCACACGACACCCCAGCGCTGGGAGGGGACAGGCAAAGGCCAGCCGTGCCCTGGGCAGGTGCCAGGGCGGCTCCTGCCGCTGCCATCACGTTGCTGGCAGGGTCTGCCCCGCGTCCCCAAGTCGGGCAGAGGGGAGGGGACACACCCGTGGGTGCCACACACGTGTCCGAGGTGCCACCACCCCCCCCTTTGGCAGGGCTCGGTGCCAGCGGCGCGTCCCAAAATAGCCCCAGCGGGGCCATAAAAGCAGGGAGGGCACGGGGAGAGGGGCAAAGCGGCACCATGGTGGGCCCCGGCGTGGTGGGGGGCTCCGGGGGGCTGCTCCCGGCCCGCCTGGGCTGCCGTGTCCGGGAGGAGGACGTGGGCAGGAGGGAAACCTTCAGCGCAGAGTGGCTGGACCTGGAGCTCAGCTCCCGGCCCGAGGACGGGTGAGGGGCACGGCCAGAGGGGTGCCAGGGATGCCAGGGGGGCACTGGGGACATGGGGGGTGTGGGGTGCTGGAGGATTTTGGGGGTTTTTTTGCCTGTTCTGCAATGCGGGGTTTCCATGGGGTTGTGGAGGGCTCCAAGTGTTTCAAGCTGTGGGGTCCCCGTAGGGTTTTGAGGGGCTCCGAGGGTCCCAAAATATGGGGTTTCCATGGGGTTGTGGGGTGGTTCCAAAATTAGGGGTTTCCATGGGGGGTTTGGGGCTGTAGGAGACTCCAAGGGTGCTGATGGGGTTCTGGGCAGCCCAAACTTGGGTGTTTCCATGGGGTCTTCGGGCTCTGAGTGTCCCAAATTACGAGGTTCCATGGGGGTCTTGGAGCTTTGGGGGTTTCTGAGGGTCCCTGTGGGGTCAGGGAAGCTCCAGGGGGGTTGTGGGGAGTATCCAAGAGGGACTGGGAAGGTCTCGGGGTTCCTGTGAGGAAATGGGGGGTCTTTATGGGGCTGGGGGAGGCCGAGATTCCACAAGGGGCCGGTTGAATTCGGGGGTCTCCATGGGGCTGAGCAGATCCACGGGACATGGGGGGGTTTCCCATGGAGCAGGACGGGACATGGGGGTCTCCAGGAGTCCTGGCGGGGTGGGGTGACCCCAAAGGGTCAGGGCAGGAGGGGAGGGTCTGTCCCCCACCCCAGCAGTGCCCCCCGTGCCCAGGTGGTGCCGGCGGGAGGCGGACACGCAGCGCCGGGAGACGCTGGAGCAGCGCGGGGCCGTGCGGGTGCTGGAGCAGCGCTCGCCCTGGGGGCTGCTGCGGGTGGGGGTCCTGGGGCAGCCCCTGACCCAGCACCTCCTGCCCTACGCCCGCACCCTCCCCGTGCCCCTCTTCGCCCCCTCAGACCTCCGCGGTGCCAAGGGGGGCGTCCCCCGCACCCTCTCCCGCTCCCTCTCCCACGAAGCCCAGCGGGGCTGAGCGTGGCAGAGGGGCCGGGGGAGGTGGGGGGTGGGGGGCAGCAGGGTGATGTTGGGGGGCTGGGGGGACCCACACGGCTGGGTCTGCTCAGCCGCCCCGAAGAAGCAGCGCGGGAAGGTGGGGGCAGGTGGGGGTGGGCTCCCATTCGCCTGGGACCCCACCCCGCTGCGGGCGTGGTGGAGGCCGGTGGGGGATGAGGACCCCGCGGGTCGGGGGGCTCCCACCTTTCGGGGGGCTCCCGGCAGCTCCGGCGTGACTCAGTTTCCCTGGCGAGAAGATGGGAATGAGAGGATGAGGAGCGCTGAAACCCGCCCGGGGCTGGGGGCGCCCTGAGGGGGGTGGGGGGCTGCGGTACAAACCAAACCATGGCCTTTGTACGGCAATAAACGCCTGCCTTGGCACCTCAGCGTCTTTTTTGGGGGGATTTAGGGAGAGAGGGACTGTGGGGGGGTGGGGGAACAGGGGGAAACTGAGGCACAGCAGCTGGAGGGACCCGGTGTCTTATGGGACTGGGGGGGTCTGGGTGAGGGGGGGCTGTGCTTATATAACCCCCCCCGCATCGCCCACCCGGTGCCAGGCTCTGCAGTGCCCAGATTAGCTGTTCCCGCTCCGGATCCCGCTGTCCCTGGGCCCTGGCCAGGCTCTGTCCCCTCCCCGTGCCCGGCCCCGTCCCGGTCCTTCCTCCCGGGAGCCGCCGGTCCCTCACCTTCACCCCCCCCAGCTCCGGCACAGGCGGGATTGGGGGTCTTACAACGCCCCCGGCCCCATCAGTGGGAGCCGCCCTGGTGCTTGTCCCGGAGCACTGGGAGCACTGGGAGCACTGGGATTCACCCAAATCCCTCCTTATTTCCATTCCCATCCCACCCAAATCCTTCCAAATTTCCATCCTCTTCCAATCCCACCCCAATCCCTCCAAATTTCCATCCCCATCCCACGAAAATCCCTCCATATTTCCATCCCATTCTACCCAAATCCCTCCAAATTTCCATCCTCATTGCATCCCACCCAAATCCCTCCATATTTCCCTCCCCATCCCATTCCAATCCTTTCCCACCCCCATCCCACACCATTCCTATCCCTTCCCATCCCTATTTTCCCCCTCTCCCACTCCCTCTCCCTCCCATGGGGCAGCACGGAGGGGTCAGAGCCACATCTCGGGCCGGGAGGACCAAACCCGCCAGGCCCCGGGGCCGGGATTGCGGATCCCGGGATTGCTCCGGGATGCCCGGAGCCCGGGGAGGGCGGCGGGGCCGTTATCAGCTCCGGGATGGATCCGCCGCGGCCCCGGTACCGTTATCAGCTCCGGGATGGATCCGCCGCACCCCGGGGCCGTTATCAGCTCCGGGATGGATCCGGCCGTGATCCCGGGGCCGTTATCAGCTCCGGGATGGATCCGACCGTGATCCCGGGGCCGTTATCAGCTCCGGGATGGATCCGCCGCGCCCCGGGGCGCTGCGCTAACCGGGTTAGGCGGGGCGGGTGATGGATGGAGGGATGCGGGCTGGATGGATGGGGCCGTCACGGCTCCCCGCGGCCCCCCCGGGCCGGGCAGCGATAAAAGGCGGCGGTGGCGGCGGGGGGAGCCGCAGCCCCTCGCCATGAGCAGCCCGGCCGCGCTCCGAGAGGGCTACGAGCACTTCGACCCCCGCGCGTACCTGCGCAACAATTACCTCCCACCCCGCGCCGACTTCTCCTCCGAGGAGTTCGTGGTGCCCTGGAAGCTGCGATGCCTGGCCGAGACCTTCGCCAGCGGTGAGGGGAAGGCGGCCCAGCGGGGATCCCCCCGGTGGGGTGGGGAAACTGAGGCACGGAGCGCTCCTCTGCTCCTCCCCGGTTGTCCCGGTGCCCTGATTGCTGTGAGGATCTCCCCCCACAACACCTCCTGTCCCCTCCCAGGTGAGATCCGGGGCCGAACGTTGATCGATGTGGGCACGGGCCCCACCATCTACCAGCTGCTGAGCGCCTGCGACCACTTTGAGGAGATCGTGGCCACCGATTACCTGGCGGTGAACCGGGAGGAGCTGGGCCGGTGGGCGCGGGGCGAGCCCGGAGCCTTCGACTGGAGCCCCTTCATCCAGCACGTCTGCAAGATCGAGGGGCGCGGGTAGGGGGGCCAGGGGGGCGCGGGGGGGCAGCGGGAGCCCAGGAGGAGGGGGGTGGTCCCTGCTGGATTGTGTCCCCAAAATCCACGGGATCACAGATTGATCCCTGTAGAATAATGTCCCTGAATCCCATGGGATCACAGCCACATTTTCCCTCAGATGCTGAGGTGATCCCTACGGGACCGTGTCACCAAAATCCCATGGCACCATGGCCCCACATCCTCACAGACACTGTTCCCAAATCACATGGGTTCGCAGCCCCATGTCCCTGCAGGATCCCAGCCTCACATATCCATGGAATCCCATCTCTGTGCCTGTGCATGAAGGGTTGATCCCCACAGGAGCCTGCCCAGCTGATCCTGTTCCCAAGTCCCTGTGGCTGTTGGGTCAATCCCTCCTGGATCCCATCCCCACATCCCCACATCCCTGCAGCTGCTGGGTTGGTCCCCAGCAGATCCTGTCCCTTTGTCCCTGTGCATGTTGGGTTTGCCCCGGTGCAATCCTTCTCCTGGTAGGTTCTGGAATGGGCATCCCACCTCACATCCCTGCAGGATCCTGTCCCTACATCCCTGTGTGTGCTGGACCGATCCCATCCCCACATCCCTGTGTGTGCTGGATTGATCCCATCCCCACATCCCTGTGTGTGCCGGATCGATCCCATCCCCACATCCCTGTGTGTGCTGGATTGATCCCATCCCCACATCCCTGTGTGTGCCGGATCGATCCCATCCCCACATCCCTGTGTGTGCTGGACCGATCCCATCCCCACATCCCTGTGTGTGCCAGACCGATCCCATCCTCACATCCCTGTGTGTGCTGGATTGATCCCATCCCCACATCCTCACTGATAAAGGATTGACCCCATCCCCACATACCCGTGGACACTGGATTAATCCCATCCCCACATCCCCATTCATACAGGATCGACCCCATCCCCACATGTCCATGGATGCTGGCTTGATCCCATCCCCACATCCCCACTGACACTGGGGATTAGCCCCATCCCCACTGGATTGACCCCATTCCCCCATCCCGTGGATGCTGGATTGATCCCTTCTTCACATCCCCATTGATATGGGATCGATCTCCCCCCACATCCCCATTGATATGGGATTGATCCCCCCCCCATATCCCCACTGATAAAGGATTGACCCCATCCCCACATCCCATGGATGCTGGATCGATCCCTCCCCACATCCCCATTCATACAGGATCGATCCCACCCCCATATCCCCTTTGACGATCGATCCCCCCCCACATCCCCACTGACACAGGATCAATCCCCCCCCCATCCCCGCCTTTCCCGGCTCTATCCCCTCCCCACTCCCCCACTCCCCATCCCACTCCCCACCCCACTCCCCCGTTCCGCCGCTCCTCAGGGAGCCGTGGCAGGACAAGGAGCGGCGTCTCCGGCAGCGCCTCGGGCGGATCCTGCCCATCGACGTGCACCGGCCGGAGCCGCTGGGGACCCCCCTGCGCCCCCGCGCCGACGCGCTGCTCTCCGCCTTCTGCCTGGAGGCCGTCAGCCCCGACCGCGCCGCCTTCGTGCGGGCTCTGGCCCACCTGGGCAACCTGCTGCGGCCCGGGGGCCACGTCCTGCTGCTGGGAGCCCTGGGCGAGTCCTTCTACCTGGCGGGCCCCGCTCGCCTGCCCGTGGTGCCGCTGCAGGAGTCGGATGTGCGGGAGGCGCTGGCGGCCGCGGGCTTCGCGCTGCGGGAGCTGCGCACTTACGCGATGCCCCCCGCGCTCCGCACCGGCGTGGATGATGTGGATGGAGTGTTCTTCGCCCACGCGCAAAAACCGCTGGAAGGCTGAAGGGAATCCCCCGGAAATCCGCGGGAAATCTCCAGCCCCCGATGGGTGAGGGGGGTGGGTGACAATAAAGGATGAGGTTGTGGCAGAGGATGGAGATGGTGCTGAGGGTGTGGGGAGGGGGTGCATGGAGATCTGGGGGGGTCAGGGACCTCAGTGGGGGGGAAATGGGGTGAGAGCAGCGTGGGAGATGGGTGAAGGGTGAGGGGAGGATGGGATGGGTGGGTGGGTTCTCAGAGGGGGATACGGGGCACAAATGGGGGTGCGGAGAGCAAAACAGGGTGGGAAAGGGGGTGCAGAGTGAGGGGCGCGAGATGGGGGGATATGGGGTGTGCTGAAGGGGTTGGGGAACACTGAGGGGGTTTGGGACACATGGAGGGGATTTTGGGGTGGGACAGAGTTAAAGCAGGGTGGGAAACGGGGTGCAAGACCGTGGGTAAGGGGTGACAGCAAAAGGGAATGGGGTACACTGGGGGGTGGGGGAGAGCAGACATGGGGCTGGGTATGGCAGGGGCCCACAGGGTGCCCTTGGGGCAGGGAGGGGACACGGGGAGGGGACAAGAACCCAGCACGGCACAGATGAAACTCAGCTTTATTCACATCCCACAGCACACCCGGGGAAGGGGGAATGGGGGGCACAGCCCCTCTGGGCTGGGAGGGGGCACACCCAGCCCCCAAGGCACCCACACAACACTCCCCACCTATGGCAGAGCCCCCCCATACATACAGACCACCCCCCAATCACCCATGTGCCCCCCAGCTGCCACTGTCACCTCATGGGGGTCCCCAGCTCAGCACGGGGAGGGTTTGGGGGGGCTCAGCTGTCCTTGACCCCTCTGTGCCCAGCAGGGGGGGTTCCCACCCCCCTGGGAAGATGGGGGGCACGGGGGTTGGGGGGAGAAAAACAAACCTCAGAAGGCAAAACCGGGGTGGGGCAGGAGGCTGTGGCTGGGGGGGGTCCGGGAGGTCGCTTGGCACAGGGCAGGGCAGGGCCCTGGGGGGGCACGGGGGGCATTGCCCACCCCCCCAGCAGCTCTAATCCACTTTGAAGAGGTCGGAGTTGGCCTTCAGGAGGTAGAGGCTGTCATCCATCAGGAAACTGGGGGGACAAGGGGGGCATGAAGTGGGGGGTTTAGGGGAGCTTTGAACCCACCACTGAGCACAGCGACCCCGGGGACCCTCCAGCACCCCGATTTCAAGGTGGGGGGATGTCTGCACATGGCAAAGGCAAGAGAGGGACCAAGAACACCCCACAGGAAACTGAGGGGGTGCTGAGCACCCCGATTTCACCAGGAGGGCTCACAGCACCCACAGTGGAGTCACCAACACCTCGGTGCCAAGGCTGGGACTCCCAGCACCCCACAGAAAACCACAGGGTCCCCGAGCCCCCAAATTTCAAGAGGAGGATGCTGAGAAACCCACAGAGCACGGTGGGCCCTGAATACCCCAATTTCTAAAGGGTGCAGAGTCTCCAACAGCCCCCAGACCCCGGGGGGCTCCCTGGGGAACACGGGGAGCCCCTCACCCCTATTTTAACAGGGGAAAGAGGGGGGTCACTGACCTGTAGAAGAGCACGTTGAGGGGGATGGTCCCGATGTGCCAGAGCGCGTGGGCGTCCAGCACCCAGAGCAGGGGGGGGAAGTCGAGGAGCTCGAGCAGCGCCAGCGCCTGGAGCAGCAGCACCGCAGCCGCGCATTTCCAGACGTGCGGCAGCCGCCGGCCCTGGCGCAGGCACCAGCGCAGCCACCACGCCACCGTCAGCGTGCCTGGCAGGGAACCAATGCAGCCACGGGGTCACGGTGCTGGCAAAGCACGGGGGGAATGGGGAGAGGGGTGCCCAAAGTCTGTCAGAGTTCCTGGGGAAACGGGGGGATCAGGGATAGAGAGGTGCCCAAAGTCTGTCAGAGTTCCTGGGGAAACGGGGGGATCAGGGATAGAGAGGTGCCCAAAGTCTGTCAGAGTTCCTGGGGAAACGGGGGGATCAGGGATAGAGAGGTGCCTAAAGTCTGTCATCTTGGGGAAATGGGAGAACACAGGGATAGGGGTGCCCAAACTCTGTCAGCATTCCTGGGGAAAAGGAACACAGGCACAGGGGAGTGTCCAAATTCTGTCAGAATTCCTGGGGAAACGGGGGGATCAGGAATAGAGAGGTGCCTAAAGTCTGTCAGAATTCCTGGGGAAAACGGGGGGATCAGGGATAGGGGGGCTCAGGGATGGGGAGAGCACAGACTGACCCCTGACACCGCCCCAGTCCAGGTCCAGTGCCCCCCAGTCCATCCCAGTGCTCCCCAGTCCATCCCAGTGCCCCCCAGCTCACCAGCAGCGGCGTTGGCCACCAGGTTGTAGCCGTAGTCAAAGCGCACGAGGCTCAGGTAGGAGATGTGGCCGGCGAGGAAGAGCAGGAGGAAGGCCCTGAAGACGCTGATTAAGGCCGGGCGCTGCAGCCCCAGCGTCCTGTGGAGAAGGGGGATGGTCAGTGTCCTCCCAGTATGGCCCAGGGCCTTCCCAGTATGGCCCAGGGCCCTCCCAGTATGGCCCAGGGCCCTCCCAGTATGGCCCAGGGCCCTCCCAGTATGGCCCAGGGCCCTCCCAGTATGGCCCAGGGCCCTCCCAGTATGGCCCAGGGCCCTCCCAGTATGGCCCAGGGCCCTCCCAGTATGGCCCAGGGCCCTCCCAGTATGGCCCAGGGCCCTCCCAGTATGGCCCAGGGCCCTCCCAGTATGGCTCGGGGTCCTCCCAGTATGGCCCAGGGCCTTCCCAGTATGGCCCAGGGCCCTCCCAGTATGGCCCAGGGCCCTCCCAGCACCCCCAGTCCGTCCCCAGCACCCCCAGTCCATTTCCAGTGCCCACCAGTGCCCCCAGTCTGCCCCAGCACCCCGTTGTCCAACCCCACTGCCCCCCAGTGCCCCACAGTCTGCCCCAGCGCCCCCCAGTTTGCCCCAGTCTGCCCCGTGCCCACCTGACGCAGCACAGGTACACAGAGTGCAGCACGACGGCCGAAGCACAGAAATAATCCAGTTTCTGTGGGGTTTGGGGCGCCTGAGCCGCGCTGGCACAGCGGGAAAAGGTGGGGGGGGGTCTGGAACGGGACCCCCGGGGGGCTGGGGACACTCGGGGGGGGTGGCACCCCAAACTGGGGGGCTTTGGGGACACTCGGGGGGTGGCACTGCCTCACCTCCGTCAGCGCCGTGTCCCTGGTGTGGAACACGGTGGACCAGAACCAGGCGTTTAAGGAGACCTGGGCAAAAGGGAAATTTGGGATTTGGGGGGTCAGGGGGCCCCACCCCTCATTTGGGGGTGCTGGGAATGGGGTGGGGGGGATGGAAGAGCTGGAGGTGGGGGGGATCAGGGGGTTATGGGGGAGATGGGGGGGAAGGAGGGAAAATGGGGGGGGAAGGAAGGGGAAAGGAGGAAAAGGGAAAGGGGAAAAAGGGAAAGGAGGAAAAAGAAGAAAAGGGGAATGGAGGAAAAGGGAAGGGGAAAAAGGAGAAAAGGGGAAGGGGAAAGGAGGAAAAGGAAAAAAGGGAAGGGGAAAGGAGGAAAAAGGGGGAAAGAAAGGGACGGGGAAGAAAACGGGACAGGGGGAAGAAAAAGGGACAGGGGGAAAAGGAGAAAAAGTGAAGGGGAAAGAAGGAAAAAGGGAATGAGGGGAGAAGGAGAAGGAAAAGAAAGGGAAAGAGAAAAAGGGAAGGGGAAGGGAGTGGAAATGGAAAGGGGAAAGAAGAAAAAGGGAAGGAGGGGAGATGGAGAAAGAAAAGAAAGGGGAAGAGAAAAGGAAAGGGGTAAAGGAAGAGAAAGAAGGGGAAAAGGGACAGAAAAGGTATGGAACAGGGAGAGAAAGGATGGGGGGAAAAGGGACAGGGTAAAAAAGAGTGAAAAAAAGGATGGGGAGAAAAAAGGAAGGGGGAAAAAAAGATGGGAAAAAAAGGACGGGGGGAGAAGAGGACGGGGGGAGAAGAGGACGGGGGGAGAAGAGGATTGGGGCAGAAAAGGATGGGGAAAAAAGGGTGGGGAACGGGCAGCGGGGCTCACCCAGGCGAAGGCGACGCAGGTGGGGTAGGTGGGCGCGGCGGGGGGCACGGCTGCCCGGTAGCGCAGCAGCATCACCAGGCTGGCCAGCCCGTTGAGGAAGGAGGCCAAGGCGGAGGCGGGCTCCTGGAAAAACAGGAACCGGGAGAAGGGCCACTGGGAGGGGACAGGGGGGTCAGCGGGACCCCGAGCTGCCCCCCAGCCAGCCCGGGAGGGGCACTCACCTTGCCGTGGAACTGGGGCACGCGGTGCCCGCCCTGCTGGTACAGCCGCACCGTCAGCCACATGCACTCGTACTTGCACTCGTCCCGGCACGTCCAGCCTGCGGGCACACCAGTGCCTCCCAGTATGCCCCAGTGCCTCCCAGTATGCCCCGGTATGCCCCAGCGCAACCCTGGCCCAGCTCAGGGCAGAAGGAGCGGGTGGGGTTCACCCCGTGGCACCGGGGACACCCTCAGCCTCACTGAGCAATGTGGAGGGACACCCAGCCACCCCCATGGTGACCAGCAGCGTGGACCAGTAGCTCCCAGTATAGCCCAGTGACTTCCCAGTATGGCCCAGTGTCCCTCCAGATAGTTCAGGGATGCACCAGGGTGGCCCAACACCTGTCCTGGTAAAGTCCAGTGTCCCCACAGTATGGCATAGTGACCCCCCAGTATGGCCCAGTGACTTCCCAGTATGGCCCAGTGTCCCCACAGTATGGCTCAGTGACTCCCCAGTATGGCCCAGTGACTCCCCAGTATGGCCCAGTGACCCCAATTCATAGTCCAGCGCCTCCCAGTATAGACCAAAACCAACCCAGTAGCCACCAGCATGACCCAGTGACAACCAGTATAGGCCAAGTGACCCCCAGGGCTCCCCAGTCAGCCCCAGTACGGCCCTGAGGCCAGCCCAGGGCTCCCCAGTACTTCCCAGTTTAACCCCAGTCTCCCCCAGTCCCTCCCAGTCCGGGGGGCGTGGCCTCACAGGAGGCGTGGCCTCACAGGGGGCGTGGCCTCAGAGAGGGTGCGGCCGCCAATGGGGCGTGGCCTCCGCCCCTCTCAGCCAATGGGCGCGGGG